ATGGTGGCACGTGCCTGTAATCCCAGCTACTCAGGAGGCTGAGGCAGGAGAATTGCCTGAACCCAGGAGGCGGAGGTTGTGGTGAGCCGAGATCGCGCCATTGCACTCCAGCCTGGGTAACAAGAGTGAAACTCCGTCTCAAAAAAATAAAATAAAATAAAATAAAAATAAAAATAAAAATAAAAATTGTGGCCAGGCATGGTGGTTCATGCCTGTAATCCTAGCACTTTGGGAGGCTGAGGCGGGCGGATCACATGGTCAGGAGTTCAAGACCAGCCTGGCCAACATGGCAAAATCCCATCTCTACTAAAAATACAGAAAATTAGCCAGGTGTAGTGGTGAGCACCAGCTACTCTGGAGGCAGAGGCAGGAGAATTGCTTGAACCTGCCAGGCGCGGTGGCTCAAGCCTGTAATCCCAGCACTTTGGGAGGCCGAGGCGGGTGGATCACGAGGTCAAGAGATCGAGACCATCCTGGTCAACATGGTGAAACCCCGTCTCTACTAAAAATACAAAAAAGTAGCTGGGCATGGTGGCACATGCCTGTAATCCAAGCTACTCAGGAGGCTGAGGCAGGAGAATTGCCTGAACCCAGGAGGCGGAGGTTGTGGTGAGCCGAGATCGCGCCATTGCACTCCAGCCTGGGTAACAAGAGCGAAACTCCGTCTCAAAAAAAAAAAAAAAAAGAAAAAGAAACAAAGAAAGAAAGGGAAAAAAGTTCCAGAACTAGTTCTGACTGTATGACTTGGGTCACGCACCAACTTTGAACCAACCAATGTGGCCAGGGCACTTCAGGCCACTGATTGGCCAGGAATAAGTCACATGTTCTGCCCTGGGGCTTGTCTGAGTGTGGGAGAGAGGACATTCAGAAGGAAAGCTGGGGCCAGGTGGCTCACACCTGTAATCCCAGCTACTCAGGAGGCTGAAGCAGGAGAATTGCTTGAACCCAGGAGGCAGAGGTTGCAGTGAGCCAAGATCACGCCACTGCCCTCCAGCCTGGGCAACGAGCAAGAGCAAGACTCCATCTCAAAAAAAAAAAAAAAAAAAAAAAAAACATTGCTTCAGGGCATTGCTGCCAAGAATAGGATGAAGGGATGGCTGCTGGTAGCAAAAACAATAGATGTTCCCTGGGACCTTGGAGAGCCAGGAATCCACCAGCTTCTCCTTTCGGTAAGGGATCTGCTCCCTGCCCAGAGCCTCATAGTGGGATCCCCACATGAGTGCATGTAAAATGAGGTTGCTTCAAGTGACCACCTGGTCCTTCTTGTTGCTGTGGGTGACAGCCTTGATAGAGAGCCCATGGGAGCACCCACCCTTGAAGCTGGGTTCCTTGGCTGTGCTCAGGACTTCATGGAAGCCACACCAGTCACTGGCTGCTAGGCCTTCTCTGCAAATAATGCATTGTCATTCATCCAGTGTATGAGTAAGGTCAGTGTGTCAGGAGGCCTCATATTGTTTCAGCCATGTTTCCTTTTTTTTTTTTTTTTTTTTTTTTAGACGGAGTTTCGCTCTTGTTGCCCAGGCTGGAGTGCAATGGCACGATCTCGGCTCACCGCAACCTCCGCCTCCCGGGTTCAGGCAATTCTCCTGCCTCAGTCTCCCGAGTAGCTGGGATTACAGGCACGGGCCACCATGCCCAGCTAATGTTTTGTATTTTTAGTAGAGACGGGGTTTCACCATGTTGACCAGGTTGGTCTCGATCTCTCGACCTCGTGATCCACCCGCCTCGGCCTCCCAAAGTGCTGGGATTACAGGCTTGAGCCACCGTGCCCGGCCCTCAGCCATGTTTCCTAATCTGCGTTTCCATCACCTCTCTGAGCTCAGGCCAGACCCATGAGCATAGGCTGAGGTATCCCAAGAGGAGTAGCTCAAAACACAGCTCTGCCCGCTTCCCTGGCTGGCTCTGCCCATGCCTCTCCATGGGCTTGGGGTACAGGGAGGACAGGTAGCCACACTGCGAAACTGACCACACTTGCATCAAGGAGATGGGCTCCTGGGCAGACAGGTTGGGCATAGCGGGGACCTGACCTGTGAGGCTCAGCCAGACTCAAGCAGGCTCCAAATAATGCGAGATCCAAGGAGTCCAACCCCATGAAGCAGCTCCCACCAAGAGGACACCATGCTGTGGCCTGGGCCCTGAGGCAGGCAGGGCCAGTCTGTATCTGGGACACAGGCATTCGACCCGCAGAGGTGGCCTGGTAGAGGGAGACTAGGCAGCAAGGCCGGGGAAGGACTGAGATCCGGTTGGAGTTAAGAACGGAGGCTGAGGATCCTGACCCCCCACAGCTTGTGATGGCAGCAGAGGAGAGGCAGTGTTAGATACTGGGAGTGTGTAGCCAACAGCCAAGAGAGAGCCAGGAGGTAGAGCTGCAAGCCCCTGACTCCTTGCCCCTCATTCTAGTAACAGAGGGCCGTGGGATTGCACCCAGGGTAGCAGTCCCAGTGAGGGAAGGTGGAATTCTAGTGAGAGCGCGTGGCGTCTAGTGAGAGCGCGTGGATTTTAATGAGGGATCGTGGCGTCTTGTGAGGGATCGTGGCATCTAGTGAGGGCGCAGGGCATCTAGTGAGGGCAGGCGGTGTCTAGTGAGGGGGCATGGATTCTGGTGAGGGCGTGTAGATTCTAGTGAGGGCGCGTAGAGTCTAGTGAGGGCACGTGGAGTCTAGTGAGGGCACGTCGCGTCTAGTGAGAGCGCATGGATTCTAGTGAGGGCACATGGAGTCTAGTGAGGGCGCGTGGCATCTAGTGAGGGAGTGTACTACATGAGGCCCTTCCTTCCCTGTGTGCTGTACTTGGCACTGGAGAGAACTCAGGAACAGGCCTGCCCTGGCAGACACCATGCACACCACACATTTGAACAGAGCTGGGCAGGAGCGCTTGTCGCCGCAGGGAATCCCAAGGCCTTCAGGAGTGGAAGAGTGGACCCTAGCCTCCAGCTCTTGTTCCATGTAAGAGATAGTCCCCTGGGAGGGGACGTCAGTTGCCCAGAGGGAAGGCCTGGGAAAGGACTACTGACTGTGACATCTGACTGGGGTTCCAGCAACAGAGAAGGAGAAAGGTCTTGTTGGTGGGTCAGGGTGTGGAGGTGACTAAAGTTACCTACCTTGGGACCAGGGCCCACCGAAGGGTTTTTCCTGGACCGAACAGAATCCTGGGCAGAGGAACACGTTGCAGTTCTTCTGTGTCCACCAGAGGGCACCCATTTCCTGCTAATCTTTTCACCTGGGCTCCAGTGGGAGGCCATTCAGGGACTTTGGGAGTGGGCAAGGTGACTCTGGGCCCTGAAGCATATCCTCAGGCAGTGGCTAATTGTGTGCCAGGCTCAGGACTAAGGGCAATTGTGTTCTGCTGGCAGCAGCAAATCCTGTTCCAGGCCAAACCTTTGGCGAGATGAGGCAGCTCAGGCAGCACCTCCGCTGATGTCGGTGTCTCAGGGCAACCTAGCAAGGCCGCCCTGTGCCCTGGCTCATGCCTCATTCTGTTGTTCCCATTTTGCAGAGAAGGACTGAAGCCCACAAGGTTCAGTTTCTTGCCTCATGGTAATGAGGCTGCCCCGTCTGTGTGCGACCAGGGCTCAGCTCCTCCCCTTTCAGGGGGCGTCGCAGTAGTGGTTCTGAGCAGGACTGCAGGCTGAGGGAGCTGGGTGAGACCTGCTCTCAGCTCCAAGTGCTGTCTGCCGCGTGTGGCCTTCCTGCATGGACTTCACCTGCATTCCTGCCTTAGAGACATTCTCCTAGGCACCAAGCTTGGAAACATGGCGGTACTGAGCTGCCCTGGGCTGCAGGACAGAGAGGAGCTGGTGTTTTGACTCCGGACCCTCCCTTTCTTCCCTGGATGAACCAGGATGCAGACACCCAGGCTCTGCAGGTGGTGTGGGGTAGACACAGGTCAGAGGGTCCCTCCTACCAAAGCCTCAACCTGCCCCAATCCTGGTGGCAGCTGTCTGGGGACATGCTGGACAGGCAGCCTGAGCGGCCCCATGAGGATGACAGCTCCAGCCAGAGAAGGGTAAGGTCCCCCCAGAACTCTGGCACCTGGTGCACAGGAGCCGGTGTGCTGAGGGGCAGGAGGGAACCGGCCTCTTGCTGTCTTCACTACACACATTGCCCTTCTTCCCAGTCCCCCCAACAACCCAGGCCAGACCTCTGCAGACACCTCAGTCCTCTCCAGCGAGTTTTCCTGCAGAAACCCCTCGATGGCTTCCCCACGTCCTACATCGGTAGCAGGCCCACTGGCAGCACCTGTCCCAACCTCTGCAGCTCTCATTGGAGGATCCCAGAAGATTCCTGGTGAGCGCTAATCCTCACCTCCACCTCTGAGGGCTTGGGCTGAGGTGGCGCTTCCTCCGGTTGGCTATCCTGACCCACTACTCACAGCCCTCTGTGAAAATCCAAACAGCATAGTAACTTCTCCAACTGTGTTCAAGGGACAGGCAGGGTGGGCCTGCCCAGCTAACCTAAGGGACCTGGAAGCCAAAGGTTGGATGACAGCCAGGCTGCACCAGAGCCCTGGAAAACCAAAGCACCGGCAAGCCTAAGGGGCCAGCAGATAGGATGTGCCACCAGCAGGGGGAGCCACACCGTGGAGCTAAATGGGTGAGGCCTGCAGAAGCAAAGCCACCCCTTGGTGGTATCTTGAGAAGCCTGGCAAGTTCTCTTGGGTCTGTGCCACTACCAGCCTGCACTCCACAGAATGACAGTCCTATGTGTAGCCTCTTCTTCCAGTGCCCAGGACTTATACTCCCACCTCCAAGGAACCAGGGTCCCCATGTAGCACCCAGTGATGGAGTCCTCATCCCCAGTTAAGGCTTCTTGGGGCAATCACCGACTGCCCCGCAAGCAGCCCCCACAACTGCAGCTCAGTCCCTGAACAGCCACCAGACTGGTGGCACAGGTCACATCCAACTGCTTCAACCCACTGTCCCCAGGATCATCCCCCTCTCCTATCCATGTGCCCTGAAGGTCTAAAGAAACTGAAACAGACAAACCAGGCTTTGAGACAGCTTTGTTAGAACAACTCAGCAAAATAAAATTCCTGTTTATTGTTGGACAACATTGTTTCACACATACATCAAACAGGCCAAAAAAAATAAACAGCAACTTCATAGACAAAAAAGGAAAAAAAGGAAACCTTTTAATCTTTGGCCTTTTAACCATCTCATACAAACCAACTACTTATAGTACAGCTAAGTACATACACAACAAAGGTACTGGAATGCTCGGAATACGATTGTTTTTCTGTTGTCGTTTTCGCTTTTTTTTACAAGGTTTTTTTTCTCCTTTGAGATTATAATGAACATGGTCACACCACAAGTAAAGTCAGAAGTAGGACAGAGAACGCTCCGAAGGCTGGTTTGGTCATCCGAGATCATTAAAAATGGCTGACCCTAACAATATGTACAAAAATATAAAATGTAAATAAAAAATACAAACAAATTTCCTTTTTAAAGTACTTTTAAGAAAAAAAGCAGGGCCTTGAAAGTTTGGTTTTTTCCTCCCCTGTTGCAAATTCTCATGGTTTGGGTTGGGTAGTGGAGAGCGCGTCGTGTCATCTGCGGGTGGCACTGCCCGCGGTGGGCGGGCGGGCGGCCTCTCTACTCGAAGGTGACCACGTTTAGATTCTGAGACGGGAAGTGGAAGGTGAATAGGTCACGGCGGCCTTTTTTTGTTTTTTTTTGTTTTGTTTTTTTTTTAGTTTAACTTTTCCTTTTTTGCTGTCTAATCATCCTCAGTCGGTCTTCTGCTTCTTGGTATCGACATCATCATCCTGGGCAGAAAAAGACTGTCAAGGCCCCTCCAACCCCAGTGGCCCTATCCAGCCCACTCAGTTCCCACCAGCAGACCAAGGACCAGGGACCCCCAGGGCCACAGCCCAAGGCCTCTGGGAAGTTGGGCCCAGGCCTGTTCCTTCCTATTCCTGAGATTCAGGACCACAATGCCCACCTATGAAATCAGAACCACTCTGTCCATGGTTTGAGTGCCTCAGGCACAGACTCGGCTAGAGGCGGGAGGGGAGACCCAAGATGCCAACCCCACCCCCTGCTTCTTTTCAAGCTAGAACCCACCTCATCATCTTCAGCTGCCCGCTTGCCCGTAGCAGACTCGGCTTCCTCATCTTCGTCTCCATCCTCCTCCTCACCTGGAGAGATTCAAAGGCCAGGTAAAGCACACTGCCCTCCTAAGGTGGCTCCTAGGGAAATCCCAAGGAAGCTGTGGAGGACCACAAGGTCCCAGCTCTGCCTCTACTGCCTGCAACTGGGCCATACCCACTGCACAGGTGGGCATCTGTCAGGGCACCCATACCCACTGCACAGGTGGGCATCTCCAGAGGTCCAAGCAGCTGGACCCCAAGAGGCGAGGCAACAGATCGGTGGCTTTCAGAGCTGCACGAAAGACACTTTGAGGTGTGAGCCCAGGACCATGTGGTCCACTGGCCCCTAGTATCATGGTCCCACTCCCTGAAGGCCCCACTCCTTCCCCTTCTGCCAGACAAGACCAGGAAACAGCGCCAACTGAGAGGGAGACGAGCACTCACCGTCGCCTTCCTCCTCCTCCTCCTCCTCCTCCCCACCTTCTTCCTCTTCTTCATCCACCTCGTTGTCAGCCTCCTGCTCCCCGTTTTCCTCATTCTCCTCGGCAGAAAGCAGGTCAAGTCATTATCAACCGACCCAAGGCTGGCCAGCGTTCGCCCCAGGCCTCCCACCAGAGCCCACCGATGCATCTACAGCCCAGCCCAGCCCTCCCCAGAGACCCTTCTCCAGGAAACACCCCCCAGGCTCCATAGTGAAACCTGCACATTAACGGCTCTAGGGGCTCGGGCTTCCCCTTCCCTGAGCCAAGTCCAAACTCTGAGCAGGGGGACTCCTCGGAACCTATTCTTGTTCAGGCGCCGCTCAAAAGGTTTTTACATATATTTAACTGGCAATAATCGCGCTTCAGGTAAACCTCATTGGCTACAATACTGCCACTGTGCAAAACTATATATATGTATGTTTTAAGTACAGCAAGAAAAACTGTGGGGCAGTAGCTGCCACGGCTCAGGAGGGTAAGGCGGACACTCACCGCATTCCCGTTAGCAGGGGCGTCTCTTCCATTTTCCGCCTCTTCCACAACTTCCTTCTTCTCCTTCAAGTCCTTCATAAGGGAAGAAGGAACCAGTAAGTCTTCTGAGCAACCCAGGGCACGCAAAGGCACTGACAACTAACGACAGGTCCATAGGGCTGCTCTGTCCATCCCAAGAGTCGCATGCGACATGGGGAGAATGACCTGACACCCCTGTGGGACTAGTGTCTCCTGCTAGTCCAGTGGAAGGAAGGCCCGCAGGGGCGTCTGTGATCGGGTTTCCCATCCTTTAAGACCCGCTACAGCGGGTTCCCACTGCCGCTTGGCGCTTGCTAGGAGCCATGCGGCGCCACAGCTCCAACCCGTCGGGCCGGGTGGACGAGCCCCGGACACTCACGCCCATCAGCCTGCTTCCAAGTGCAGGGAGCTCCGCCCCGCAAGCCGTCTTGGAAGGCGACAGGTTATGTTCCAGAAATAAATAAGGCTACGAGGGAGGAGCCTGCGCGCAGGGAGAGCCCCACCAGCGCGCCAGCCTGGGAAAACCAGTGAGGCCGCACCGACTGGCCCCAGCTGCGAGCCCTGGCCAGGACAGGTCGCTGAAGACGCCAAAGCACACCGAACCCCAAATCCAACCGCTGTTCGAGAGGCCGCAGACTGCTGCTTGGCGGTGCCCCAGGCCGGGGCCTGCCGCCCACTCAGAAGCGCTGCCTGGAGCGACCAAGTCCCGGCCTCCTCGCGGCGGTTCGGGGTCCGGACCGCACCTCAGGGATGGGACTCCACCTGTGTTCTAAAAGGCAATGCCGCCCCGGCGTCCCTTAACTTTTTCCATACGACACGGCCGCCAACACCAACAAGCGTCCCACGGCCGGATTGCGGGAGGCCCTCGGTCGCTGTCCACAAGCGTCCTCAGGCCCACCTGTTTGCCCTCTCCGTCCCGCCCGCCCGGCTCCGCGGACCCTGGTGCCGCCCGCTCTCGCCCCCTGGTGGCCGAAGCCCCGGGGAGCAGGTGGGGGCAGGGAGGTCGCGGCGCGCAGGCGCGCATCCCCCGCCCGGCGGGCTTTGCGCGCGGGCCTCAGCACGCATCGCGCGCAGAGAGCACGTGGCCTGGGGCAGCCGAGTGCGTCCCCGGCCTTGGAGACTCCCGGCCGGCAAGCAGAGCTCGCCGTGCCACGCGCCCAAGTGGCGCCTCAGGCAGCGGGACTCTCAACTCGACGCACCCCTGCTGCCACCCCGGCAGTCGAGATTCGCGGGCCTGAATGACTGCATTTGGCGGGCAAAGTCTTGCGGGAGATTGCCCCGAAATCCAACCGGCTGCGTTAGTCTGAGATTGTCGGGGATGTGCATCTCCAGCTACTCATCGCCCTCGCGGTAATTCATCTTTTACTGCTTCGGAAAAAATCGAACACCGAGGCCCAGCGCTAGGAACGGTTTTCTCCCCCCATAAACTGGTTCCCGGACTGAAACCAGAAGGGGCCACCACGAGCCCCTGCGGAGAACCGGGGCCGAGTTCGGCTCTGCCAAGGGAGTCGCCCCTGGGAGAACCAGAGGTGACGCCAGGGGCACAAAGATTAAAGAGACGCCAAGGTGACTTGCGCCAATCCCCACAGGGGCACACAGGGCGCGAACGAGGGCCGAAGGATTCAGAAAAAACCAGTCCGTCTGAGACCTCTGCGCTCCCGCCGAGGGCGGAGACCGTACCCAGGGCGGACAGCGGGACCAAGGCGGCGCTGAGAACAGGAGCGGAGCCGCGCCAGGCGCGCAGGACCTCATAGCCATTGGCAGTTAAACCCGCCTCGGGTCCCGGGAAGCCCCCCCCAGTTCGGCCACCACCGGCCTGTCGCGGCCGCGGTGCTGGTCCGCGTCGCCCCGAGCTGCGGCACACACGATGCTCCCGGGCAGCCGCCGGGGGCGCCCATCGTCGCCGTGGCCCCGCGCTTCACTTTCTCTTTCCTCCCCCTACGACGCGTGGGCTCGCCTCCACAGCCAAGCCCGGCACCGCGGTTGCATGACTGAAGCTGGGCGGCTGCTCCCGGCGCACTCACCTCGAAGGGCGCCCACCCCCGCCTCCCCGGGCGCCCAAAGCCGATAAGCCCGTCACACCTCCGCGAGGACGACCGACGTCGCGGCCCTCGGGCCCGCCGCCCCATCCGCCTTATCGGGGCTTAGTCCAGATAAACCACCTCGGGTCCGCTGCAGGGCGCAAAACCGGCGGCCTGGAGCCTAACAAAGAGGAGCGCGGCCGGCGAGCGCTTGCAGCCACTTCCCGCGGCCGGCCCGCGCCCCAACACGCGCCCCCCAGCACTTCCGATTCCCAACGCGCTCGAGTTTCAAAGTTATTTCCGTGCGCCCGGCGGGCCGACGACCCTCAGCCAGGTCCTTCTCCTCCCGCCGCCACTTGGACGGCTCACAGACTAGTTTGGAGAGCACTGAGCTAGCCTCTGCGCCGAACCCCGGGCTCACTCCCCGACGGGCTTCACGTCTGCCCGCGGCAATTCCCGCCCCCTCCCCCGCACCACACAAAGAGTGGGCTGCCTGAGGGCACCGCGCCGGGGGCGAGCCGTTTCACCACAAGAGGAAGCAACAGCGGGCTTGAAGCAGTCCAGCTGTTGCGCTCCAAACGTGGCCCGGGCGGCGGCGCGCGGACCCCGAGGGGGCGGGCGGCGTCCAACCTCACCTTGGTGGTGATTTCGGAGCTGGTGTCTACCGCTGCGTCTGACATGGTGGGGCACGCCGGTGATCCGATGCGGGGTATTTAAAAAAAAGCGAGAGTTCAAGGACTCTGGCGATTAAGCTGCCGGAGTCCGCGACGGCGAAGGAGGCGCGCGGCGGAGGCGGCTGCGGCGAGCAAGGAGTCGGACGAGGAACAATGCAAAGATGGCTTTTCAGAGCAGCCAGTGGGGGACTCACGCGGCGCCAGAAGCTTTAATATAGATTAGTGGGCGGCGCTCGGCTTCCCATGCCCAGACGCTATTGGCTGAGCGCAGGGAGCGGGCGCTCGCTCATTGGCTCGATTCCGAACAATGGACAAGCGTGCTTAAAGCGGCAGTGCCCCGGCGCGTCCCGCGCTGCGCAGTCGCCGGTCGCTCTGTCATTCAAGGCCGGAGTTTGTCGGGGTCTTAGCGGCGCCGAGGCCGCGGGGGAGGGGTGCGCGAGCGCGTTCTGGACGCTCGCGCTCCCGCAGCTGTTTTGCTGGGGCTGCTGACGCAGAAAGCCAAAGCGCGGCAAAGCTGCCCGCCCAGCTCCTTTCCCTCCCCCTCTCGCCCTCCCCGCGACTGCTCGGAAGGAGGGGGAGGGAAGAGGGGGCGGTGGCGGGCGCACGACGGCTGCCAGCGCGGGGGAGGGGAAGGCGGGGTGCTGGGCCGCGCTCGCCCCGGGCGGTGCCCAGCCCAGTACCCGCGGAGGTGCCCGCCTCCCTCGCCTGGGCGCCTTCGATCAAGTACAGTCTCAGTGCAAGTGGACGGAAGCCCCACGACGAGCAACAAGGTCACGAGGCCGAGACCCAGGCACCTGGGCCGCACCGTCCCTCTCCTATGCCCTCGCGCCCGCCCAGGGCAGTGCACCCCTAGTCCCGTGGGCAAGCGACCCCGTTTGCCCACCACCAGGTCCGACGTTCGTCGGTCAAGCCGGTCAACAAGTGGGCACCGTGCCAAGCACACAGGGATTCATGCATCAAGGGGACTCGAGCGATGCCGGCTCCTGCCTTCGAGTGGGACAGCCCGCGGGCCCCGCACGGCATAGCGGTCCCCTCACTCTAGGGCTCTGGTTAGGGTCCGTCCCGAGCGGTCACTGCCGTCGCGACAATCTCAGGGCAGCCTCCTTCCAGCGGCCCGCCGGGCCATCGAGTCTACCCTCCCATCCCACTGCTGGACTGCGATGTGCATATAGGCATTGCAGAGTTACTCGGGGGAAATAATCGTCTCTTGAGCCAGTTGGACTAATCCTTGGGGTTTAGGGGGCCATTTAGATAAATTTGGGGGACCATTTAGAGAACCATGCGGACGCCCGAGAAAGAGGAGCATCAAGACGCCACACTCAAGATGGCGCTGAGCTCGGCAAGTGTGGCGTGACGTAGCGATCCAACCCACGTGGGCGATCCAAGAACGACAGGCTATGCCGGCCTTATTGCCATCGCACTTGGCTGTAGAACTAAGAAATCCACTGTGTGGGGAAAAAGACCAGAATAGGTAAAAAGATACGCCTGAAATTTACCTGTGCCACACACAAAATGGCGAGAGGGAGCGTTCGTCCCTGTGCTGCCAAAAGGGGGCGCCCGACACGGAAGGCGGGACTCCAGAGAGACGAGCGCACATTGGCCGAGAGTGGCGGGCGAACACAAAGTTGACGCTTTGCGTACTGCCATTGGCAGTTCCGGCCGTCTCTCTCTCGCGTGCCGCCGAACTGGGAATGAGGAAAACCCGGAGTATAGGATCGGGGAGGGCGGACGATGCCAAGTCCAGCCAAGCTTGTGCTCGGGGCTAGAACAGAGACTGAGTCTCCCTTCTCGGTTTCATTAGGTAATGGGCGAGATGGCTCCATCCCCACAGCGGGGCTTTGCTGAGCTTAGCACGCACACTCCCGGCGGGGAGGAGGCGCGCAGTGCCGGGCGCCACCCCGTCTCCCGCACGCATCCGGCCCGCATCCCTGTTCCCAAATGACCGTCTAGCCGCTGCACTGTTGGCCTTTACCGAGCCAGTGTTACTTAGGAAGAAGCCCGGGCTCCCAGTACTTTGGCCTGAAGAAACGTGGGGCAGATGCTAGGCAGGGCGTGGATACCGCTCCACCACCCGCTGCCCAGCCGTCACCCTCCCGTGCGGCGGCGAAGGAACGCCCGCTGGGTCTCCGCCCTGCCCCCAGGCGCCCCAATGGCTTGAGGTGGCATTCTCCTCTGGGCAGGCGCGCCCCAATCCTGGGGACTCTCACAATGCTGTTCTGGAGAGCCACGCTTCTCAACTCTTTGTCCGTTCCCCTCCCTCCTACCGCCAGTCTGTCTTGACCGCCGCGTAGACCTGGGGCGGCTCTTCACAGAGAGGAAGGGCTCCTCGGCCTCAGCCCCCGTGACCCCCTCCTTTGTTTCACATTCTCGGAGAGTTGGAGGGATTATGCGTCTCGTAAACAGGGAGACCGAACGCCTTCCACCTGCAGTGCATCCATTAAGTTCTAGTTACCCTCGAGGGGACTGTTTTTCCACAAAACCTGGATGCAGTGAGAGCCTTGTCTGTACCACCTCTAAGCATCCAGGCTTCCCCCTAGTCTGGATGGTGGCCTTCAGGCAGTGGCCTGTGTCCACAGCTGAAATTCCGGACTTGACAATTTTGGATTCAGGCCGTTGTGGGAGCGGGAAGGTCAAACACCCAGGAGAAACTGATGAATGTGAATTTCCCTCTAAGAACTGCTTTGCGTGACATTCCCATGCAGGTGGCTTTGCTACAAGTGGGTGAGGAAGGCTCATGCCCACTGGTTCCAGACTCACCACTTAAATTTCCCAGACACTCACTGAATGGCCGCGGAGTACATGGCAGTGAGCCTTTGGTACATGTTGCATTTTCATGTACAAGGTGGGTAGGAGTTACGGAGTTGAAGCATATGAAACATGTTTATGTAGGTCAAAACCAACTGAAAATCAACACATTTACAGGTTCAATCTCTGATATAACCCTCCTTTTAAAAAATCGTAAAAGCAGACCTAGGGATTTTTGCCAGGAACTTGGAATTACCCACTGGATCAGTGATGGAGCCGAGGCTAAGTCCGAAAACAGAGGAATCTGCATTTTTAGATGAACCCTGGGGTGGAAGTTGGCTCCATGGACTTTCCCCTTAACCGGGAAGTGTAGCATCTGACACCTCGTAAGTCGTGGAGTTATTTAGGCTGTGAATGAAGAACCGTGTTCCTTCAGCAACAGGTAGCTCCCTACCTCTTTTGCTGTTGCTTTTTTTTTTTTTTTTTTTTTTTGAGACAGAGTCTCGCTCTGGCATGACCTCAGCTCACTGCAACCTCCACCTCCGGGGTTCAAGCAATTCTCCTCAGCCTCCCGAGTAGCTAGGACTACAGGAGCATACCACCACGCCTAGCTAATTTTTGTATTTTTAGTAGAGACGGGGCTTTACCATATTGGCCAGGCTGCTCTCTCAAACTCCTGACCTCATGATCTGCCCACCTCAGCCTCCTAAAGTGCTGGGATTACAGGCATGAGTCACCAGGCCCGGCTTTTTGTTGTTGTTTGAGACAGAGTTTCACTCTTGTTACCCAGACTGGAGGGCAGTGGCACAATCTCAGCTCACTGCAACCTCTGCCTCCCCAGTTCAAATGATTCTCCTGCCTCCCTCACTGTCCCAAGAAGCCAGGATTACAGGTACCTACTACCACGCCAGCTAATCTTTGTATTTTTAGTAGAGACAGAGTTTACCATGTTGGCCAGTCTGGTCTCGAACTCCTGACCTCAAGTGATCTGCCTGCCTCAGCCTCCCAAAGGGCTCCCAAATTATAGGCATGAGCCACTGCACCCGGCTCACTTTTTGCTGTTTCTGAACAGACTGTTCTTCCTGTCCCTTGTCACTTCCACTCATTGATATATTTCATGCTCTTTGTTATTACACAAGAAGCCAGGCACTTCTGTGGCCTTGCCCTTCAAACCCCCCAAGACAAGTGGTAAGCCTCCTTTCCTAACCCCAGTCTGAGATACAGTGGGCTTAGGCTAGAGCTGCTCCGAGCAAGGGCCCCAAATGGCCTCCAGGCATGTTTTGTTTTTTGTTTTGAGACCGGGTCTTGCTGTGTTGCCCAGGATGGACTCCAACTCCTGAGCTCAAGTTATCCTCCCACCTCAGCCTCCTGAGTGTCTGGGACCACAGATGCTTGCTACTGTGCCTGGCATTTCTGGGGGGAATTTTCACAGGGATGCCTCTGGGTGGCCTACACACTGTCCAGATGGCCCACAGGCATCTCCCTGCCCAGCCTGAGTAACACATTGATCTCATCTGCCTGGCCCTGTGGGCACTTCAGTTTGCAACTAAGCCTGCCCCTAAAGCCATTTCCAACTTATTCCTAATTGGTTATCTCACAAATCTGCTTGATCCCAAAAAGAGCAGACAAAGTTTATATTTTGTTCTGTTTTGAGATGGAGTCTAGCTCTGTTGGCTAGGCTGGAGTGCAGCCGCACAATCTCGGCTCACTGCAACCTCTGCCTCCCACGTTCAAGCAATTCTCCTGTCTCAGCCTCCAGAGTAGCTGGGATTACAGGCACACGCCAGCATGTCTGACTAATTTTTGTACTTTTAGTAGAGATGGGGTTTCATTATGTTGGCTAGGCTGGTCTCGAACTCCTGACCTCATGATCCTCCTGCCTCAGCCTCCCAAAGTGCTGGGATTATAGGCATGAGCTACTGCGCCTGACCAACAGAATGTATTTTTAAACTGCCTGGGTTGAAATGCTAGCTCTGACATACACTACCTTTTGTAAATTGGGCAAGTTACTTCCTCTCCTCTAAAAAACAGAGAGGACGGCCAGGTGTGGTGGCTTACACCTGTGGTCCCAGCCCTTTGGGAGGCCGAAGCAGGAGGATTGCTTGAGCTCAGGAGCTAGAGATCAGTCTCGGCAACATGACAACATGACAAAATGTCGTCTCTACAAAACTTTTTTTTAAATTACTCAGGCATGGTGGCATGTGCCTATAGTCCCAGCTACATGAAAGGCTGAGATGGGTGGATTGACTGAGGAAGTTAATATTCACTGTACTCCAGCCTGGGTGACAAAGCAAGACTCTGTCTTAAAAAACAAAAAATAGGCCGGGCGTGGTGGCTCACGCCTGTAATCCCAGCACTTTGGGAGGCCGAGGCAGGTGGATCACAAGGTCGAGAGATCGAGACCATCCTGGTCAACATGGTGAAACCCCGTCTCTACTAAAAATACAAAAAATTAGCTGGGCAT